CCATCTTCTACTAAACAGAATTGTGCCTGAAAATCAAGCATCTGTTTCACATGGTAGTTGTGTTATCTTAATACCATTTCAATTTAGTATATACTTAAGTGCTATGGATCACTTTGGAAATGATGAATCTTAGAAGTTATCATTTTTTTCTGACCACATTAAAATATAAAGCCATAAACTCATATTTAGCTTTTAAACAAAACTTTGGAAAGACCCTAGATAATTTTACCATTGAATGCTTTCTATCTCAGCCAAAAAAACATTTTTTTTAAAAAAATAAACCTTTGCAGGACATGGTGGCACATGCCTGTAATCCTAGCACTTTGGGAGGCTGAGGCAGGAGGATCACTTGAGCCTAGGTGTTTTTGAGCAGCCTGGACAACATGGCAAAACCCTGTCTCTACAAAATATACAGAAAATTTAGCCACATGTGGTAGTGCGTGCCTGTGGTCCCAGCTACTCAGGAGGCTGAGGGAGGAGGATGACCTGACCCCCAGGAGGTCAAGGTTGCAGTAAGCTGAGATAACGCCACTGCACTCCGCCTGGGCAACAGTGAGACACTGTCTGAAAAAATAAAATAAATAAGCTTCTACTTTGTAATAGTTTAAGATGTATAGAAAGTTTCAAAGATAAGGCAGAGAGTTTTTATATCCACTCACCCAATTTTTCCTGCTATTGGCATCTTACAGTCAGTCATCTGTTCGTGCTAAGAAACCAGCATGTTTCTCATTAACTCAACTGAAGACTTTTCAATCAACTACTTTTGATTTTCTGCTTGATCCTTATAGAAAATAATTTTCAACAACTATTCTTATTAAAACTAAGTATAGCTAAATAGTTTGTAATCATCTCAGAAAGCTTCAACATTCCCCTGCTTCAAAGGGGAAAGATTGAGTACATGGTTGAAACGTTATTCACTGTTAGGCCAGGCACGGTGTCTCATGCCTGTAATCCCAGCACTTTGGGAGGCTGAGCAGGGCGGATCACTTGAGGTCAGGAGTTCAAGACCAGCCTGGCCAATATGGTAAAACCCTATCTCTAATAAAAATTCACAAATTAGCCAGGCATGGTGTCGGGCACCTGTAGTACCAGCTACTTGGGAGGCTGAGGCAGGAGATTCACTTGAACCCGGGAGGCAGAGGTTGCAGTGAGCCAAGATCATGCCACTGCACTCCAGCCTGGGTGACAGAAAGAGACTTTGTCTCAAAAAAAAAAAAAAAGTTATTCACTGCTAAAAACTTGAAAATAGTACTTATCATCAGCCCATTTCTTCAAGGGAAGAACAATAAAGATGGTATTTCCATAACCATAGCACGTTTAAAACTACTGATATCTATGTAGCTTGCCTTATTTTGTCATTTTCTCTGTCTGATCCCACCCACATAGAGTAGAACTCTTCTCAGCTCTGTCTGCAGCACCTCTTCTGTATAAAGCCTCAGGAGGACCTAGTTTCTGCTGGGAAGTAGCCTGCTGACCCCATCTTGCTGTGGCTTAGAGCATCACTGGGCCACTCTGAGTGTGTGCCCAGATGAAATGAGATATGGCTTTGCACTGAGTGAGTCTCCCACCAGCTGGATTCCTCATGGGGCTTTCAGCTCAGTTCTAGTGAGAAAGCCCTGCTGCCTCCGCCTTTTGGGAGGGAGCTAATAGAAACAACTAGAGAAATGTTAAGTATGGCCTTTTCAGACTGTGACTCCAGTTCCATGTGCCAAACCATCTGGGCTGGAGGAGGCAATAAATGTCCTCTGCTGACGGTCATCTTTCCTCCCCTTTCCCCGGAAAGCTTTGGGACTGTGTGCCCAGGAAGACGCGGGCTGCCTTCTGCATTCCAGCACCCTGTGCCCCTGCCGTGTGTCTTTGTTTTCTCCAAATCAAATTGGCCACGTGGAGTCTGGAGTTTTTGTTTCCATACTACCTCTGCGTGATTGCCGCAATAGGTGGTGATGCCGCCGGTGAAAGAATCCAATTAGAATATGTAAAAGTTGTTTTGTAATGGACCGGGCTCAGGGGCTTTGGTTGCTCCTAATTGGGGGTATGACTTCCCAGGGCCCTAGTGACTCCACGGGATACGCAGTAATCTTCAGGGATTCTCTCCTTGTGGGATGAAGATAAGTCTCCATTTGCCTGGTCACAGGGTTGCTTTTTGTTTTTCTTCCTACCTCCTGAATCCTTCCCTACTTGACACTAGGGAGAATCTGGCTATGTGCCTGCCTGCACAAAGATGCAAGCAACTGTAGAGAGAGAATTCTGGAGATATACAATGAGGCTGGAGGAAGCATAGAGGAAGCTGACGGGTGCATCCCCTACTAGGGGCAGGCTTGAGACCTAACTAAGGCCCACTGCTTCAGTTTCCTGTCCTCTTTCATCAGAAAAACCTGACCTACAGAATAAGGGGCACCTCTAACGTCTCTCAGCTAATAAGTGTCGGGTCAGTCACTTCATCGTCTTTACCAGCGTCATCACAACATAGGCTGACATTCAAAAGGGCTTGCTATGTACCAGGTGTCATGCTAAACCTTTTGTACAGGCATGTATGTATAAAGTGGCCCCCAAACTTTTTACACAGGGGGCCAGTTCACTGTCCCTCAGACAGTTGGAGGGCCGCCACATACTGTGCTCCTCTCACTGACCACCAATGAAAGAGGTGCCCCTTCCTGAATTGCGGCGGGGGGGAGGGGGGGAGGGCCGGATAAATGGCCTCAGGGGGCTGCATGCGGCCCGCGGGCCGTGGTTTGGGGACGCCTGCTTTTGTATATATTATTTTATTTAATCCTCTCAAGAGCCCTATGAATTAGTGACTGTGTTAATTCTATGTTTCCAATGAGGAAACTGAGGCATAGAAAGTCTAAAAGCCTTCAGCTAGTAAATGGGCGAACTGGGATTTGAATACAGCTTGGCTCTCGGGGTTACTCTTGTAACCTCTGTGCTCTAAGTGTATGTGTAAAGCTACTGAATACTTTTCTCTCTACTCAAGAAAAAGTTTATAATAATTTCTTACATTTATAGCATATTACCAGTCATGGTTTTTTATTGAAAACTCTGTTTCTGTGTTCCTGAGCTGCTAGGGTAGATATCATTCTATCATCTAGTCAGACTTTCTCTAGGAAATGAATTTGATTTAGTGTGAGTCACCTTATATATGAAATGTTTTGATAAGTTCGCAATTTGAAGACTGACACTTCTCTTTATCTTTTATTATTCCAAGAGCTTCTGAGGGATGAATCATGTGATCTCATTCAGACATAAAGCCAGATACTCCTCGTGCTGTGCAGAATCACTGGCTAAGTCCAGGCTGCTGCGTCCCAGCAGGGCCTCTGGACAGCTGCACCTCCATTTCCCTATTCACACAGGACGCTAACCTTTGGAACCTTCTAATTAGTGTGGATGAGTTATTTTCAAAAAAAAGAAAGAGAGTAGGGATCAAGAGAGGTACAAACCTGCTTTAGTTTCTACACAAACTAGAACAGCATATGTTCTGGGAAAGCTTTCAGATCACTATGGATATTGGAGGTGGAGCGTAATGGAAGGGAGTATAAATCTCTACCGAATGTTCTATTTTTTTTAAAAAAAGGCTTGAGCTGGGTGCGGTGGTTCATTCCTGTAGTCCCAGCATTTGGGAGGATCACTTGAGACCAGGAGTTGAAGACCAGCTTGGGCAACATAGCATGACCCCACCGCTACAGGAAATTAAAAAAAAAAGTGAATCAGGCATGATGACTTGTGTCTGTAGCGCCAGCTAATCGAGAGGCTGAGGTGGGAGGATTTCTTCAGGCCACGAGTCATCAAGGCTGCAGCAAGCCATGGTCGTGCCACTGCATTGCAGCCTGGGTGACAGCGTGAGATATTGTCTCTAAAAAAGGGTCTTTAACTTCATGGGTTATTAATTCTACAAACTGGGAGCAAATTTAATAATAGAATAATATTACCTCGATTTTATATGGAACATATACATATAGTTTTACACTGAATATAGTTCTACAATGGAACTATACATGGAGTTCTGCAATGGAGTTCTAATCTAATCCTGGGGCAGAATGCTCAATAGATAAGTAAAAATATAAAACATTACTGCAAAATTTACCCTGTCTTTGGTTTGCTTCTTTACTGCTGTTCTGTATTTTTAATGTTTGGGACTACTTTTATACCTCTCTTTTGCTTATAATATTCCTTGGGGTAGAAAAACATGTAATTATGACTTCAACAATGTTTACATATATAATTATTATAATGAGTTATTTCTACAACCATTGTCAATAAACATCTGTCATTATGTCTGAGTCACTGAGTTAACTTGCTACATAATTTATTTCACATTATAGTTTTATATATGTATATATACACACACACACACACACACACACATTATATATCTAACTATAATTTGAAAATATATTACCTAGATATGTTTCCAGAGTATATTCAGTAATGAGACTAGAAATTAGAAATGATTTGTTCTGGAAGCTCAGCTATTAAAGGGCATCTTGGCCTTGAACTAAAATATCTTACACATCCTTCTCTTCCCATTTTCTGCAATGGACATAGCTCTCAAAAAGGGAGAAAATATTCTTTTGCATATTTTGCCACAGAACATACCTGAGTGTGAATTCTAACTTCACTGTTTATTAGCTCTATGATCCATTTATATTTTTTTACACCTAATTATACTACCAACAAATAGAAGATAATAATAGATTAACAATAGCGAATCAAGTTTTGAGACAATCAAGTGAGATTGTATGAAAAGCACTTATCTGAGTTCCTGGCACTTAGACATTAAATAATTACTTCCCTCCCTTGTGTATGAAAGGTGAAGGCCCAAATGATGGTTAGAGCGCCCTTGTCCTTTGGTTCAGCAGCTGAGTGGTAAGATAATCAACCCTAGATTCCTTAGAAATGACTTTATCCCTCCTTCCAAGATGATTAGAAAACATTGAATTTTCTGCTGATTTGTATGAAGCCACATGGTAAGACAGTGCTAATTATAATTTTTACCCACGCAGGTCAGAAGTTATGTCAGGAAAGCTCTTGCCGAAGGTGCCCAAATTCGGTGCGGTGAGGGAGTGGATAAGTTGAGCCTCCCCGCCAGGAACAAGGCAGGCTACTTTATGCTTCCCACGGTAATAACAGACATTAAGGATGAATCCTGCTGCATGACGGAAGAGATATTTGGTCCAGTGACATGTGTCGTCCCCTTTGATAGTGAAGAGGAGGTGATTGAAAGAGCCAACAGCGTCAAGTATGGGCTGGCGGCTACGGTGTGGTCCAGCAATGTGGGTCGCGTCCACCGGGTGGCTAAGAAGCTGCAATCCGGCTTGGTTTGGACCAACTGCTGGCTCATCAGGGAGCTGAACCTTCCTTTCGGGGGGATGAAGAGTTCTGGAATAGGTAGAGAGGGAGCCAAGGACTCTTACGACTTCTTCACTGAGATCAAAACCATCACCATTAAGCACTGATCTTCGCAATTGGCGGAGCTTCTGTGGCCAATGCCTGGCTGCAGAGATCAGTTGCTCAGTGTGGTGAATGAAAATCATGGCATGAATTCCAGCTATGCTTTGACTTGGCAGAAGGTGCTCTCTAGCTTATCTTCAGTTCTTAGTTGGTAATTGTACCCCCTAGTGAAGAGATCTGTCTATTTTCAATGTGGACTCGGAAGAAAAGACTTCTGAATAGGAAGACAGAGCAAAGATACCAAACAGCTGTCAGGCTCCTCCCAGGTTATGTTTTCATAGTGTTTCTTTCATCATCTTCATTGAACTCTTGGGAATCTCCAGATAATCAGATGATTTCATTTGCAAGTATATGGTAAATTAAAAACAAATCTACAGTCAGGTGCAGTGCCTCATGCCTATAATCCCAGCACTTTGGGAGGCCAAGGCGGGTGGATCACTTGAGTCCAGGAGTTTGAGACCAGCCTAGGTAACATGATGAAATCCTGTCTTTACCAAAAATTTAAAAATTAGCTGGGCATGGTGCCCTCTGCCTATAGCCCCAGCTACTTGGGAGGATGAGGTGGGAGGATCACTTGAGCCCAGGAGGTTAAGGCTGCAGTGAGCCATGATCATGCCACTGCACTCCAGCCTGGGGGACAGAGTGAGACCTTGTCTTAAAAAAAAAAAAAGAAAAAAGCTACAAAGCCAAAGCGAAAAGAAAGAAATGGCCATCATTAGCCAATATCTCTTTGGAGAGATTATGGAGATGTTCTGCTTGTCTATCAGCCGCTAGCATGACTAACTGATCATTGATTGTACTTCATTACGTAAGGGGGCAGTGAATGTCTGGAGTGTGTTGGGGGAAACCTATGTGGTAAGCTCTACTAACTGTATCTGTACAAGAATGAAGAAAAACAAAATACCACTTTTGGAGGAAACTTGAAACAAGAAGAGGATGTAGTTTAATCTAATCCTACGGTCGAGTCTAATCAATTCCATTGCTTGGCGTATGCATCTAATGAGGCTTACAACTTACTAACCCCAAAAGAAGCAATAAATGTTAGCAATTTTAGTAACCAGTATGGCCCGTATCTTATTTTTCAATGAGTTCCTCCTTATCTTCATCCTCCTGAGAGTATGGACGTTTTGCTGAGTAATAAAGATTTCAAATGCTGCTTTTTTTTTTTTTTTTTTTTTTTTTTTGGATCTCCAGATGATTACAGGAGAAAACTGAGGTTTACAGAGGTTGAGCAACATACCCAAGGTCACACACATGGTATGGGTAGAGGTAGGGTTTGAACCCAGGACTTTGAGGCTCCAAAACCCAGAATCTCTCACTGCCTTCCACTTGCCTTAGCTGGTGCTCAAGAAGCAGTGAAGTACCTGTGGTTCCTGGGACACAATGTGTTGAGTCTCCCCTTCAAGTCTCCTTCCTGCTTTGCCTCCCCCGTCCTCTCTCCTACCCACCTCCACTTCAGGGCCCTTCCTCAGTGATCATGCAATTCAGGAGCACCTCCAGCAGGGGCCTTCCTGCGCTGACGGGAGTGATCTGTTTGCACGTCTGTCTCTGTAACCGGACAGGAGTGCTGAAGGCCAAGTCTGCTGGTGCTGCACTCTGAAGAGTCTCAGTTCTTAGCACAGTGCCTGGCATACAGCAGGTACTCAAAGCAAGTTCTGAGAAGGGAACAAAATGTGCCTGATGCTCTGGGGTATTTGTCCCATGGTTTGTGTGTGTGTGGTTGGGGGTAATGATAAGGGAAGGCCAAGCTTTCTAATTTTGCTTAGGATTTCAGATATATTGGTTTGCTTGCAGATGCTGAAAAATAAATGCCAGCCCCTTTCAGATAAAGTGATGGTGTTGGATTATACCTGGTTCTAGATTCTACCTTCCTTTCTCCTTTCCTCGCCTCTTCTCTTCCTCAGCTGAGTCCCCTTGACCTTAATCACTTTAGTGCAGAATGAATTTGAACATCAGCAGGAGGAGTTTCAGCAACTTTAGTCTCTAGGAATTTGCATCTTTACTCTTGTAAATGGTCTGGCCGAAGCTTATCCTTATTCCTGAGACCCAAGCCATATCTCGATTCCAAATTCTAGCAACTGACTCCTTGCTCTCTGTGCCTGGACAGCCACCTCCCACCCGCTTGTCTTTGCCCAGGAGACTGTCCTCCCTAGGGCTCGGAGCCAGCTCTGCTCTTGTAACGTTCCTGTCTTGGCCCTGGGTCCTGCCTGCGGAGGGGCCTGCTTCCAGCTGACAGACATCCTGAATGCTATCTCCCTAGTGGGTCTTTCGGATCTCTCAAACTCCTACTGGGCTCACAAGGCAGCCTCATTAATGCATTTTCCTCCAGCCAACGCTCTTCCATCTCTCGGTTGTTATAACCATTGTCGGAGTCTTAGCACCTTAGCTAGAACTTTCCTAGTTTTGTTCCAGCCTCTTCAAGTGAGTGAGTACGGATCCAGGACTGTCCTCCTCCCAGGCCATCCATGCAGTCCCACGTCCCCACAGCAGCTGAGGCGCCGCTCCATTCTGTGCCTACACCGCGACAGAGTCCCAAGGCACCGGCGAATCCTGGCTTGGGGCTTCCACACCCCTGCTGTACTGTGCTCAGAACTGATGATAGAATTGGGGTGAGGGTGTCCACAGGGGCTTTATTTTTAAGCTAACTGATGGGCCCATAAGTGTTTCCTATATTATTTCATAAGTCAGAATTATTCATATACCAAAAAAGGAAAGTGGATCATATTGAAGGGATAGCCAGGAACAGGCTGAGAGGAGATGCTGAGAGAAGGTGGGAGAGACCCCTCCTGGCAGAGTGCAGAGGTCCCAAGCTTGAGGCTCAAGGATGAACAGCTGCTGAGGAGCAGTACTTCTTAGACGTGGATGTGCTCCTGAATCACCAAGGACTCTGTTAAAATGCAGATTTGCATTCAGTACTGTGGTGAGACCTGAGATTGCACTTGGAGTGTCGAGGAATTAGAAGACACTGATTAGAAGGCAGGTGCCTCATGCCTGTAACCTCAGCACTTTGGGAGGTTGAGATGGGTGGATCATCTGAGGTTGGGAGTTCAAGGCCAGCCTGACCAACATGGAGAAACCCCATCTCTACTAAAAATACAAAATGAGCTGGGCGTGGTGGCACATGCCTGTGGTCCTAGCTACTGGGGAGGCTGAGGCAGGAGAATCGCTTGAACCCAGGAGGCAGAGTAAGTATCAGGTAAGTATCAGGTAAGCCGATATCACACCATTGCACACCAGCCTGGAGAATAAGAGTAAAACTCCATCTAAAAAAAAAAAAAAAGAAGAAGACAGGTGCTTCCTCTAGGTTTCGGGAGCAGCTGGCTACACTTGCTCCCTACTGGAGACACTAGAGTAGATGAACTTCCCAGGAATGCCTCTAATGAGGCTCTAGGCACAAAACCTGAGATAGCTCAGGACCTTCTGTGCAATGCTGGGGAGGAGGAAGGGAGAGGCGGCCCCACCTTGGAGTGAGACGCACTGCAGAATTTCACCAGCCAAGGCAAAGTCCTCCTCACTGGTAAGTAGTCAATGAGGGTGCAAGCTGAACTCTCCACATGTCTTAGAAAGAAGGTTCTTTTCTTCAGTAAATGGGGATTTAGTCCCCCATTCAGCAATGGGCCTTATGGGTAAACTGTTTTTCCAAACTGCAAAAAACAACTTTGTCAATTACCCACGCTAATCAACAATATAGTTTTGGTATTTTTGTCGTTGTTTTTTTTTGTTGTTGTTTGTTTTGAGTCAGAGTCTTGTTCTGTCACCCAGGCGGGAGTTCAGTGGCACAATTTGGCTCACTGCAATCTCCACCTCCTGGGTTCAAGTCATTCTTGAGCTTCAGCCTCCCGAGAAGCTAGGATTACAGGCACCCACCACCACACCTGGATAATTATTGCATTTTTATTAGAGACGGGGTTTCATCATGTTGGCCAGGCTGATCTTAAACTCCTGACCTTAAATGATCCACCTACCTTGGCCTTCCAAAGTGTTGGGATTACAGGCATGAGCCACCATGCCCAGCCAACAATATCATTGTTATTAAAAAAAATTACTGGCCAGGGCCGGGCATGGTGGCTCATGTCTGTAATCCAAAGCAGATCATGAGGTCAGGAGATCGAGACCATCTTGGCCAACATGGTGAAACCCTGCCTCTACTAAAAATACAAAAACTAGCCAGGGGTGGTGGCATGTGCTTGTAGTCCCAGCTACCCAGGAGGCTGAGGCAGGAGAATTGCTTGAACCAGGGAGTCGGAGGTTGCAGAAGACAGGACGAAACTTCATCTCAAAAAAAAAAGAAAAAAAAAAATTACTGGCCAGGCACAGTGGCTTATGCCTGTAATCCCACACTTTGGGAGGCTGAGGTGGGTGGATCACCTGCGGTCAGGAGTTTGAGACAAGCCTGTCCAACATGGTGAAACCCCATCTCTACTAAAAATACAAAAAATTAGCTAAGTGTGGTGGCACATACTTGTAATCCCAGCTGCTTGGGAGGCTGAGGCAGGAGAATTGCTTAAGCTTGGGAGGTGGAGGTTACAGTGAGTGAAGATCATGCCACTGCACTCCAGCCTGGGTGGCAGAGTGAAACTCTATCCCAAAGGAAAAAAAAAAATTACCAAGCAACCAAGGATTATCAAATTTTTGGTAAAAGAAAAATATTGAGATGTGCGAAACAGCAGCTGATTGTGATAGAAACAGATAAAAGAAGAAGTGAAGAAACTAAAAAGTCAAATGAATCCCCTCAGAAAGATGTGAGGGGATAGTGCATTTATAAATAAGAACAGGCTACTATGAAAAAGGAGCAAGCAAACGACATAAAAGAGGTCTTGAGAAATTAACCATTGATTCTCCAAATACATTTTTAAAATTTATAGAATTGAATCATAATATAGCTGAAAACAAACTAGTAGCCTGGAAGAAAGAGTTGAGAAAATAGCTCAGGATGTAGAGAATGACAGAAAAGGAAAAATCTAAGAGAGTCGGTGAGATGCAGGATTAAATCTAGATAACTATTAATATGTAACTAATTCAAAATGTAGAAACAAAGGCAAAAATATGGAACCAGCCTAAATGCCCATCAACCAACAAATGGATAAAGAAAACGTGGTAGGGATGTGTGTGTATGAATATATATGCATATACTGTGGAATACTACTCAGTCATGAAAAGGAATGAAATTCACAACAACCTGGATGGAGTTAGAGACCATTATTCTAAGGGAAGTAACTCAGGAATGGAAAACCAAACATCATATGCTCTCACTTATAAGTAGGAGCTAAGCTATGCTATGATGACACAAAGACATAAGAATGATATAACGGACTCTGGATTCCCAGGAGCAGGGTGGGATGGGGGTGAGGCATGAAAGACACTGGATGCAGTGTATACTTCTTAGGTGCACCCAAGTCTCAGAAATCGCCACTAAAGAACTTATCCATGTAACCAAACACCACCTGTTTCCCAAAAAGTATTGGGGAAAAAAAAGACAAAAGTGGGGGAAACAATCAAATAAATAGAAAAAGAAATTTTCTCTGAACTAGAGAAACTCTTTTTAGATGGAAAATACTCACCATGTGTCAAGAAATACTCTGCTGAAAATTGTAAATTCCTAGTGTAGGCTGGCTGCAGTGGCTCACACCTGTAATCCCAGCACTTTGGGAGGCTGAGGATCTCCTGAGGCAAGAAGTTTGAGAACAGCCTGGCCAATGTAGTGAGACCCTGTCTCAAAATATTAAAATATAAAAAAATTCCTGGTATAAAGCTTACAGATAGAATCAACAGGATACCCACCCCTCCAAAAAGCACCTAAAATTGTCATCCTCTTTTCATTAGTAACATTGATGCTAAAAGACAGAGGAGCAGACCTTCAAAGTTCTCAAGAAAAATTATTTTGAACCTAAATTTATAGGCAGCCAAACTCTTATTCACGAATGAAGGCACAATAATATATTTAATGACCCGAAAATTTCTCACTATTTATTCTTTCTGGTATTACTTGTGGATGTAACACAGCAAAAGGAAATAGGAATTCAAGAAAACAGAAGAAATGCCTGAAGAATGAAATGA